TTCCTGAAAGCAGTGCTTTGCAGAGGAAAAAAACATCCCAGTTCCGGAAACCTAGTTCTCCTTATATGCTGTCATTTATTTCAAAACTGGTTAGAATATATAGAAATCATTTCCTCTTAGAACCTTATGATGTTTTCTTCATTACAGCGTATCAAAGGGAAAATTCCTTTCTCATGGAATGCAATCTCAGGATTGTGATAGTCATATGAGCCTACTGAACAAAATAAAGATAATTCAATGTATCTATTGCAAAGTAATATCTTGATGTAGTAAAATAAATTAAATGCATCTCATTTATACCCTTAATATCATCCTAGCAGGCTTCCCATATAATTAACCAATACTTGCATTGAGTTTGTTTTGTGGGAATTAGCATTGTTTTTAATTCCCTATCTATAGTACAAATAAGAAGGCCAGATTGCATAGTGGTTAGCCATTCAGCTGCTAGCCAAGAGGTTGACAGTTTGAATCCACCAGTTGCTCCACAGGAGAGAGATGTGGCAGGCAGCTTCTATAAGGACTGCAGCCGTGGAAACCCTCTGGAGGCTGTTCTACAATATCCCAAAGCATCTCTAGGAGCCAGAATCCACCCAATGACAGTGGTATATTCCAAATCAGCAAAAGAATCAAAGAAGTCTAAGATTTCATAAATTCACTTCAATACATGTCCAGATCAGCATAATAGAACACTCCTCTCAAAAGCTCCTATCTCTTTAAACATGCCACTATGAAACTTCCATGCCTCTGATAAAGCTAGATTGATGATACTGGCACATACACGCAAGCAGCAAGCTCAGCAGATGGTTCAGAAAAACAGCTATATCATTCTGAACCACTTATATGACACATATTAACAGAAGGCATTGATGCCAATTAAATTTCATATTTACCTCTCCAGCCTTTGAGAGGCAGGGGCTGGCTTTGTTTGGCATGATCAACTAGCTCTACAGATGTTCTTGTAGCTTCTTCACCCTCTGAAAGATGGAGATGGAGACCAGGCTTTGTGGTTCTATAAAGAAGACTGATGGTGGGGTAGAGTAAAAAGGGCCTATGAAAAGTGACTGGCTAATAATAAATATTTTTAAAATGCAGCATGTATTTTATTTTTATTAAGTGTAAAATCAACTCTCCCCCCAAAACATCTTCGATCACTGAACTTAGATCTTAAAACCAGAAAGTAGAGATCTGATTTCTGTGAAAATGAAAAAAATGAAATGACGTTCTAGCTCACTTTCATTGGATTGACAAACAAGATCACCATCACTATGGTTATGATATTGATATGTTATAAAAATAGAAACACACCATCAGAACAGCATAACCAAAATTTCCCCTAAGCTTATGTCAACTTTCACATTTCCTGCTTATAGATTCCCTGGTAATACTGTCCCTCAACCTTGGGGAGGTTGATCATCAGGCTCAGCTTCATTCAAAAACACAAGAAACACATTAAAAACAGTACCAGACAGATAGGAACTGTAAACACAGGGAATCCAAGATGGATGATCCCTTTAGGACCAGTGCTGAGAATGGTGATACTGGAAGGGTGAGGGGGGAAGGGGGAACAGATTAAAAGGATCTACATATAACCTCCTGCCTGGGGGACAGACAACAGAAAAGTGGGTAAAGGAAGATGTTGGACAGTGTAAGACATGACAAAATAATGATACTTTATAAATTATCAAGGGTTCATGAGGGAGCGGGGGAGCAGAGAGGGAGGGAAAAAAATAAGCTGATACCAAGGGCTCAAGTGGAAAGCAAATGTTTTGAGAATGATGATGGCAACAAATATATAAATGTGCTTGACACAATGGATGGATGTATGAATTGTGATAAGAGTTGTACGAGCTCCCAATAAAATGATTAAAAACAAAACAAAACAACAACAAAAAACTGTACCATATTGAGATTTAGATTCCCTATTGGGCTCCCTGATAATAAATAATTAAAAATTAATAAACAACAACAAACAACCCAATCCCCAAACCCCAACTCTAAAATTATATATATTGAAGAACAAAACAATGGTTTCTGAACAGCTATCCAAACACCAAACCAACGGACTGCCATCAAGTTCATGCTGACTCATAATGACCCCAGAAGACAGGGCAGAACTGCCCCTGTGAGTTTCCGAAACTATAACTTTATGGGAAAGAAAGCCTCATCTTTCTCCCATCGAGAGGCTGTTGGCTTCCAACTGTAGACCTGGTAGTTAGCGGTCCAACATGTAACTAACTCACTATGCTACCAAATGAAATACACCATCAGAACAGCATTACCAAAATTTCCCCTAAGCTTACGCCACTTTCACATTTCCTATTTATAGATTCTCTGGTGATCAACTCTACTATACCAGCATCTCTCCTACTACAAAAACCATCAACTATACTACTACAGAAAAGTCCTGGGAGTGTGATGATTAAGTGCTTGGCAGCTAAGTGAGAGTTTGGAGGCTCACATTCACCCAATAGCTTCCTGGAGAAAGACTTGGAGATTTGCTCTGATCCAATGATGGCCTAGGACAACCTATGGGGCAGTTGTATCTACTCTGTCATAGGGATTACTATTAAGTGAATTCTACTCTATGACACCCAACAACAAAAATAACATATTATTACAAACAATTATAATTCTTACATACTTTCCCCTTCACATCTAAGAACAAATATGCACACACATTTGAAAGTGATTTAGAACAAGAAAAACATAATTTGAAAACTCTACTGGCCCTGCAATTTCATGTATGTTGTATCACTCACCCTCTCATCCACTGCCTTTCACACTCAGTGATGCAAATCTGTGTGAATAATAAGTTTCATATGAAGTCTGTGCCATTCTATTAGAAACACAAGACTATTTTCTTCCTCCTCTAGAAAACAACAACAAAAAGATGAGCTTAGGACCTTGCCATCGTTAACATTGAGCTCTGCCCAACAGGACTCAAATGGGTTCTGAACTCACGCAAGATGCTGAGTC